GCAAGGATAGTCAAGGCTCTCCCGGTGATTAAATGGGCCCACCTCTACCTTTCCCTCAATCAAGAGGAGGTTGATGACAGAATATTCATCCGTGAATTTTTCCTTCGCTTTGGCGATTTCATGGATCCCACTGTCGCGAAATGTCACATTGAAGAACTGGAACTTATTGGTGGCCGAGGGCGAAAGCAAAACGAAGACAACGATGGCACTGCATGGGTCAGCGACATGTGCATCAAGGCCTTAGTCTCCAGTGTTCTTGGCGTGTTGGCAAAAGATCAAGAAACTTCTATTTCTAAAGTCAGTGTATATATATATATATGATATGTACTGCATTCATCCCAATTTTTTTTCAAGGTCATCAAATCCGCTGTCAAAGATTTACGTTCTGCTGGCATGAACTTAAATAAGATATGGGCCGTGCTATCTCGCACGCGCGACGATATTAGCAGCGCTAGTTCACTTCAGGCTGGGAGCAGCGTGAACACCGCAGGAAGAGAAGCAAACCTCACATTTCCGGACCCTCCTCCACCCCCCGTTTCCGTGATGAGTGCCCGCCGAAGTCTCCGTCAGTCAGACGCGGCCGTTGTCGTCACGCATTCTACCCAAATGATCCCAGTACTTGTATCACTCATTCATTCGGCTCTTGAAACTGCCATCATTCGCGAAGAAATTGATCAGGGAACGAAGGATGCCAGAGATTTTGGCCGGGACGCGAGAGATGCGACGCGAATTGAGAGTGAAAGATGGGAACAGGAGCGGAACAGTATGGAAGTGGCTCCGAAGGATAAGAGTCGGAAACTCGAGGTCAGTTTATCTACGCCTTCACTGACACAAATCATCTTACTCATCTGTTGTCAAAGAACCGAGACAAACGAACAGCCCACAAAACGCAGATCACCAATATTGAAAACGCTCTCAAGATCATTGTTCCTAGTTTCTCACCACGTTTCACGCCATTGGGTACGGACGACGATGGTCGCGTCTATTATGCTCTATTTCCCGGCGTCGCTGAGCGAGAAAGTGCACTCGAGTATCTTGAATCTGCCGCTAGTGAGAAATCATTCAAACTCAAGAAGAAGTGCCCACTCCCGTCAGCTGAAGAGCGAATGGAAATGCGAGAGTGGTCTTGGTTCGTTGCCGTTTGGGGTAGAGATCCTGCCCCTGCGGATAGGCGTCGCACAGCCGAGAGCGACAGCGATTCTGATTTTGAAGCCGACGAAGATCCGAATGCGGAGAAGTGGTGGGGATTCTGGCAACCCGACGACATCACCCAACTTGCCCAATGGATCTCCATCAAGTCGGGCGTCGACGACGACGATTCGAATGGCGCTGAATCAGGGAGTGCTTCCAGCAAAGAAAAGGCAACACTGCCGCCTCGCCTCGCCCAATACAAACGACTGGCCACCGAACTCACTGAATATGCCAATCTTCTCCGGTGGAGAATTCGGGACGACAAATGTTCGCTCATCAACAGGCTTCCTATAGCTAGTCAATCGATCATGGAAGGAACATCATCTAGAGGCAAAGCTAAACTATCAATTGGACATGTAACCGCCAACAACTAATAACTTGGGATGGCTATGTATACCCTGTACATTTAATCTTGACCTCTACATTAGATAGCATTGCATATGTATCGGACTCATTTTAGCATGCTTGTCGTTCTATCACTTTAATCATGAACCTTCTTTTTTGTACAGGTGCATGTATACATATGTATCCGTCTCAAATGTTCGCTCAAAATACAGTCAACCATTGTTCTCGAGGGCCTTGTCGACTGCAGAAAACTGCTGCGTGTATATAGATACCAGGTCATCAGCAGTGCAAGGTCGATCTGTGCATAATTTCATCCTGCGAGCAATCATGGTTGCCAGAATGTGTTTACACTGCAGCGAAGATGTTAGACGGTAGGTATACAGTTCTCCGATTGAGCGAACCATTATGTGCGCGCCCTGCATCAGAACAGAAGACAAGAAAGCCGGGCAAGTGCAGGAGTGAGGCACCTTTGAGTTCCGGAGGTCGAGAAAGACAGTATAACTGCCTGTTGAGCCCATGACTTGGTATTCGGAGTGGCCCCAGGGCGTAGAAAAATAAACCACTGCAATAATTCGGAATCAGGGTCGTATTGAATTGCAGGGTAGCCGTCATACCATTCGTGCGGTCAATGATATCGAGGGCGGCGACGATCATCTTTTCGGGGAAGATGGCGCGGAGCTTCAATAGAGAATCATCCGACACTGGAGCCAGAGTCGGAAATTCGGTAAGAGCACTGATTGGACATGATTGAGGACAACTTGCAATTGTCAGGCTCGATGGATTCGATGACGGCGGTTGCAAAGTCCAAAGGGCAGTCAAGAGGCATCGCTATACAGCAGTAGAGATCTTGGTCTAGTCGCAAACTGCACGCTTGAAGAAGGGCTGTAGGCTTCCTAGTGGCAGTATTTCATGACGGAGACATGACGGAGACCAGAGCGCCAGGTGCAAGGGCCGGTTACAGGGAAGAGTGGTAGGTGGTGGAAGTCACCTGCCAAGTGGCATCTGACTGCTGCGATCGGCAGTCTTTTTGAGCTACTACTATTTTTGGACCGTAAGCGCTTCTCTTCTCCCCTCACTGTCTGCTTGGTCACGTCCAACTCTTCCAAGCACTTACTTATACCTGACGCGACGTTTCTAAGTTATCAGCAACTCAAGTCTGACTCAAGCACTGAGCGAAAATGCCTCGATATCTCGTCCAATTCGCTCAGGCTCACAATGACTTTAGATTGCCAGAGCTGCAATCTATTGGTGAACTACTCGGAATATCCGTCACTTTACCCAGCGACCTAGAGAGCAGAGATCCTATGAGACCCGTCATGGTCATCGATCTTGAAGTCGAAGAGCACGCACGCCTCCTCGCCAGACGGTGTATATTGATCAAGTGAGCTGTCTTCATCGTTCATCTCTCACCTAATATGCGACTGCTCGTTAACAATTTGAGTTTATAAGAGCTGTTTATGAGTTTTACGCTCAGGGATTCACGTATGCCGAACTTCATGAGGCGAATAAGCTCAGCCAGCCGTCATGGGCGCGCTATATCGAAGATACTTCATTTCGGTTCCTTGTTACCTCGTCTCAGCATAAGATCCCGCAAGCACGCCAAAAAGAGGTCATCGAAAGTTTCTCCTACATGGGGTTCCTCGGAAAGATCGACATGAAAAATCCGGAGATCAATCTTATTTGCTTCGAAGAATGTCAGCATGTGCGACTCTCTCGCAATTGAATTTATTGAGACTTTTATCGGCAGATGACGACCGCCATAAAACGACACGAGTTAGGCATGAAGGGGACGGCGAGTTTCGCGAGGTTTTCTTCGGCAGGTTGGTATGTCGATCATTGGCTTCATTTTTTGTATTTCTGACTCCTTGCTCAAGCTAGAAGAAGGATCGGCTAGACAACTAATCGCGAAATTCGACGTGAAGAAACGCGCATATTATGGAAACACTAGCATGGAGTCTGAGATTTCTCTTCTCATGGCAAACCAAACACTGGTATGCGCATACCTACTCCAACTTACAATGATTCTCACTAGTCATTGAGGCATCTCCAGGAAAATTCATCTACGATCCTTTCATGGGGACAGGCAGCATGTCATATGTCAGTCATTCTAATAATATTTTATTATCTTGCCGTTGCTAATATTCCCATTTTATTCAGCCTACTTCACACTTTGGTGCGCTTATTGTAGGTTCAGATATCGATGGGCGGCAGATGCGAGGGAAAGGTACGTGCTCAATCTTGTCATCTTGAGAACACATTATAATTGATGATTTGCCTGGCAGGGAAGACCCCTGGGGTGATTCGAGCAGCGACTCAATATGGAACTGCCTCGAGAATTATCGATCTGGCAACATTCGACGTCACCCATAACCCGTGGCGATGCGGGGAACTATTTGATGCAATTGTCACTGACCCTCCTTGTATGTGTCGAAATAACTATATACAAACACAAGCTAATCTTTACTCTGGGATTCAGATGGAGTCCGTGCCGGAGCAAAACGCCTGGGCCGCAAGAAGGAATTACCAGATTATAAGAAAGAGCTGTGTCTGCAACATACCCTGAATGGCCGCCCGTAAGATCCACTGTTATTTACGCTCTCCAAATTGCCTCAATAATTTCTTCAAGTGACGATCAGCCTTACATTCCACCGACAAAGCCATACGAATTATCGCATCTCGCGGCAGATTTAGTCGTTCTTGGGCGCTACCTGCTGAAGCCGAACGGTCGTTTAGTCTTCTTCCTCCCCACCGTCACCGATGAATACGAAGAGGTCGATATCCACACGATGCTCTGCGAAGGCATGGAAGTTATTGCCAACTCTTTACAAGATTTCGGCTCCTGGGGTCGCAGGGTGCGTTATTAAGAATCGCATACTTCCGCTTTTCACTCAAATTTGCTTCACTTCTCAGCTCGTGACTATCAGGAAGACAACACTGGAAAAATATCCCCCGCCCTCATTTGATCCCACTCCTGAAATCGATGCAAACAGCCACATTCCGGCTCATAAAGATTTCCGAGAGAAATACTTCCAGGGATTCAAGTCAAAAACAGATGAATTCAATGATGGTGCTTCTTTGTCTGACCCTTGACGCTGCTGCATTATTGCAGACAGTAGTGCTCTACATGTATATGTGAATTGTACAGTTGTATTAAGACCAGATTACTTTTCAGCTGTGGACAGTAGGGGACTCGCAGGGGACAAAAGCAATTGCCAATGAGCAATCTGTTCACAGCATATCCAAACACCTTGGCTCAAACTTCAGGCTTGTAGTATTCAATAGTGGGCTGTGGCCTAGCTGCCTTGAGGGCTTGCAAAGTCATTAATATTATATTTGGGTGCAGCCTCAGATTCTGCCAGCCTCCAGGTGACAGGTGCCACTGCCATGGCCAATGGCCAGGTCCCCTCCCGGCCACCGCCCACGACAGGCGACTGACAAAATTAAAAAGGAGCAATAAAAATGAACTCTCTGTCTGGGAATCGAACCCAGCTTTCGCGCGGACAGTAAACTGACAAGCGCGTGTACTAACCGATATACTAACAAAGACGATATTCTGCCAACCTCAACGGTCGTTTGAAGCCCCAGAGGTTACTTTGCAAACTAAAGGTGGGTGGAGGAGATAACAATCCGTTGTAGTTTGAATATGCACATCTCTTAAACACGGCCTTAATTAAAAAGATAAGTCTCCTACTCCTTTGCACCCTGCCCAGCCTCGATGGCTTGCCGCAGAACCGCAGAACCGGGCTCAGCGCTACTCTCGCTGCCGCCGCCACCCGCAACGACCTGGAGAAGAGCGCTCACAGCCCCCGTCGGCGCAGGCTCCAACTCCGCACCGATATCCGGCACACCAGAGCGATGATGTACAGGTGGTGGCTCCAGAGGAGTAGTCGCCGAGGCAGTTGCATCATGCGGCGGTACGACCCATTCCGTCTCGATATCGACATCGACGATCGCACTCCCGAGCCCCAGGGGGAAGTCGAGGTCCTTGCGCGTCAACGTAAAGGTTGTTTTGGCTGTGCTCGCCGTCGCAGAGGCCGGGGGAGCAGTTGCAGGTGGGGGTTGGGGCATATGGAAAGTAGGTATGAACCAGAACCAACCGATGAATACCTAAGGGATGCCAAGTTTACTATGATTTTCTCGGATGGAAGAACATAGTTTCCGCACCTGGCCAATATAGAGCTTGACTCTGACCTCGCGGCCAGCATCTAAGATGATCCCTTCTTCGATATTTATGTCAGGTACCGTATGCGCAGTATTTTCTGTGTTCAGGGAAGGTGCGATTTCGTTTATTGAGTTGGCTTCGGAATGGGATATGCCAGAGGCATCGGCGTTCTGGGCAATAGCCTGCAGGATCTCTTGATGTTCATGTTTGTTATCGACAAGGGTTTTGTGAAGATCGTCCTTGAGACCTTCCCACCGTTTATCCGACATTGGTCTGAGTGTCCAAATATCAATCTTGTCTCCCTGTAAAATTAGAATAAACATGCCAAGGTCAACGCAGAAATAGTGTGATGTACAAACCTCGCTGTCGACAATTGTTTCTTTGCCGTCCTTGCTGACACCTAGTCGCGCAAAACTGCGTACCATCTTGCCTTTGTCCCATTTATCATTACTGAAGATCTCGCTCAAAACCTCTTCTGTGGATTGGCCCCGAGCGAGCCGTTCTGAACCCGGCCGTCGCACACCCATCTGATCGTCAGTGCTGCGCGTATAGACCTCCCATTCTTCCAAAAGATTCACAAGTCGGTCGTCGTACCGCGCGAGGGACGCCCACACCTGGCTAGAGGAGCCGTCCTGGCCAACATTCGGGCCCTTGGCCAAGCTCGTTCGCTCAATCAGCTTGTTCGCCACTCTCACTATGCCCAGCCGCAGCGCCGACTGCTCACGCATGCGTAGCGTCAGCTTTGTGAGGCGCACCTTCGGGCGTGGCGCGGCCGCTTTCCACAGGTGCGTGGGCGCCTCATGCGCGAGGAGGAGCGCCCAGTACCACAGGAAGCGCCGCTGGCTCGGGATGCTCACCCCCTGCTTCCCCTTGTGGTCCTCCACCGGCGGCTTCATGCGCTGCGCGGTGTGTAGGTCGAGCACACCCTTCAGCGCGTCCGTGAACGACTTCTCGGGGTTGGGCGTCGGCGGCGGCGGCGGCGACCCGCCCGAGTCGCCGTCCAAGATGCCGTCGGTGTCCGAGCGCGGCGCGTGCTCCTCCGCGGGCAGGCGGGGGCTCGTCTTGAGCGGCGGAGTTTGCACGTCCGCTACGGGGAGCGCGCTGACCGCGCTGTGCATACGGTGCTGTGCCCACGTCTTGGCAGTATGGCTGCGCTCGAGCTGCGGCGGCACCGCGGCGTCCTCACACGAGAGCAGGTACGTGCACGCCATCGTGCCCGAGCGGCCCTTCCCGGCCTTGCAGTGCAGCACTGCGACGCGCTCTGGGCCGCCGGCGAGCCAGGCGTGCATCTCGCGCGCGACGAGCGGCATCACTGCGAGGGGCGGGGCACTTGGAATCAATCGCTCAATGATGTCGAACGGCAAGTGTCTACCGACTCACTGGTGGTCGGGGAAGGGATACCGGCTGACGCGCCCCTCAAAGACGTCGGCCGTGTACGCGTTCTCTTTGATAGGGCAGAAGTTAAACACCCAGTAGTTTTTGCCGTGGCGGTTCTCGAGGAAGCGGATCGCGTCCTCTCTGCGGTTCCGGTAGAGGCCTTCGACCCCGGAGGCGGGATAGCCCATGATGATGACTTGGTCTGTCACATAGACGAGGTCTGCGATGTGTCAGTAAGTGAGGCTGCCTACCAGAGAATTATGTAGGACATACCAAGCTCAACATTGAGTTTTGAATCCCGGAAGCGAGACTTGTCACCCGAAACGAGGCGGCGTATGTAGTCCGTCATGTCGCTATACGTAGAGGCGAAGTGGAATTGAAATTGTCTTGAAGAGCATCATCGTCCTTGACATCCAAGTCTTGAAGTGACCCCAATTTGCCATTCGGTCGTCAACGCGTCATGGATCATGTGCAAAATGTCGTCATAAGTAGTAGCCCGAGCCTCGGGAGCCTCTGCGTATCTCGCTTTGCAGATTTCTTTGCGGATCGCTTTCGATTGATAATAAGCGGGAGCTCTTGAAGAAACTCCTCTAACAAGTTATTTACTGCAAATATTCATACAGTCTCGTCACATTCTCACGCTGACAGGAGCCCCGCGAGCAACTCGCGAGTCGCTCGGACACGACCTTCTGGAGGTTTAGCCAAGTTTTAGCGCTTAGCCATAATGTACGACAGAATTAATACCTGCATTCTACTTACAATTGTACTCTGCAAGTTGTATACACTGTACAAGGTGCCATGGTAGATAAAGGTGTTATTGTAGATAATGGATAATTGACAGATAAATTCGGGGAGCAGATAACTTTACATACATTATTGTCTCTGTGACCGGTTTCTTTCGATTCTAGGCATCTAACCACATCTTGACATAGTCAAATGATGCGTATCATTTATCCAAGAGCCCAAAAGCACACTTGGGACCGCATGAAGGGGAGGGTATACTTCGCGCACAGGCCAATAGTGTCAGAGTTGCAATTCGTCCGTCGTCATGTCTCCGTCGTTTATCACCTCCAGGACAGGCTTGTCCGGCACATACGCGGCCTTCCCGTTCACGGAGCGCGTCCGCTGCACAGTCGAGTTCATGCTCGCGGCAAGGTTTACCAATGGCGCGCGCCCGATGCGCGTGATGTTCGTCCGCGGCTTGCTCTCGAGCGGCACTTGCACTGACTTGTACATGTCGAGTTCGTTCTGAAGGGCGTTGTTTTGCGCGGCGATGTTCTCCTGCTCGTTCGTGAGGAGGCCGATTTGCTGGAACACTAATGTCAGAGCCGGCTCGGGAAAGAGGGACGACGCAAAGCACAGGACTTACATGTTTTGCGTCCGCCAGCTCCTGGCGGATGCGGTCGACGTACATGATCCGCTGCGCGGGGTTGTTGTGCCCCAGGATCTCGGCGTTGAACTTGCTGATGCGCTCCGCCTCGCCCTCTGCGATCTGGTTGCGGACGAGGAGTCGGTCCACTTCGTTGCTCAGTTGCTCGTACGCCTCCCTGTATCGCTCGGCGTCTGCTAATTCCTGAGACAATCTGTGTTACATGATGGCCGAATCTGGTCAAAAAGCGAATTTGAGAAAATAAAAACCACAGACAGTTCGATTTCCCCGCGGAGAGCCTCTTCTGCAACCCGGTTCTTCTGAATTGTCGAGGAAAGGCGCTGGATCGCATCTTTGTCCTTTTTGACGGCATTCGTATGTTTTGCCACAGAGTCATGGAGCTCTTGCTGCGCCTCCGCCAGTCGGACCTCAAGGATGGCCATGGACGCCCGCAGGTCGTTCGCCTCGGATGCGGCCAGGGCGAGCTTTTCGTCGAAGTCGATTTTTTCTTTTTGCACAGATTCCAGCCGCGCTGCGATCGCTTCGTGCGACGCCAGTGTACTGGCGAGGTCCGACGCGCCTTGGTCGGCGAGGTTCTGGGAAATAGCCTGCTCTTTGGCAAACACGGAAGCGGCAAAACATAGTTGGCTGCTCTTCAGGCGGTAAAATTCGGCAGTAAGCGCATTCGTACTGCTTTCGACCTGTAGGAGCTCTGTGCGGTCTTGATCCATGTTTCGACCAATCTCTTCCAGAGTTTCTCGCAAGCCATTATCGAGATCAGGCCCAGGTTGTGGCAATGATAAGGCGTCTGAGTTGGCGTAGAATGAAATTTCTTCCAGTGCGTCGCGGAGCGAATGTTTGAGCTGATTGTTGTCTTCTTTGACTTGGCGAAAAAGATGCGTGAGCTCCACGACCTGGCCTTCCGAATTGGCGACTTTACGCTCGAGACGAAGTTGTCGAATTCGAAGAGCAGCGTGTTCAAATTTTAATTGACGATGTTGAGTTGTTAACACAGATCGACTTGCCAGGGCTCCATATTGTTGCGCGACGGAGGCCAAGAGGTGTTGGTGTTGCTCGAGCTGTTGAAGAAGCTCTGCTTCACGATGGCCGACATTAAACTCTAACTCGGCTATTCTTGCCTTTGCCGTTTGTGATTCGCTTTGCGCCTCGTGTAGCCGGATCTCCATTTCTGTATGTGTCGTCTTCAAAGCTTGCGTCTCTTCTTCCAACGTTCGTTTAGAGTCCTTGACCCTGTTCTCGGAGGACTCTCGCTTTTTCTGCTCTAATTGAACCTGTCGTTCAAGTTCAGTTATGCGCCGGTCGCGGTCCCTGAGTTCATCCTTCCGTTTCGCCTCCAGCGTCGAAAGAGATTTCTTCAACTCGTTGATTTCTGGTTGCTTTGAGGAGACCTTGTCCCGCTCTAGCTCCAGCAGGCGAAGTTTATGGCGCACTTCCTTCAGTTCGTTCTGCTCAGCGGTGCTGGTCTTCTTAAGTTCGTGCAGGCGAGCCTCGAGGACGGCATTATGTTTCTTCTGCTTCTCGAAACGCTCAGCTTGCTCTGAGGCGAGCTTCTGAGAGGCAGCAGCATCTTGCTTATATCTCTCGATTTCGACGTGATGCTACAGCAAATGCGATTGA